AATAATATATTAAATAAATATATTAAATACACATATATAATACAAAAACGGTTTCAGAAAAGAGGGAAGAAAATGAAAAAAAAAAAAGTGAAATCCGTTTTTCAGAAAACAGAAAACGAAAATGAGAAAATGAAAACACCTTTTTTTCATTTTCTGATTTCCACAAAAAGACAAAAACGTTTTTGGTTTTATTTTTTAAAAAAAATTGCACCAAACATGTTTTTAACACCCGTTTTTATTTTTTTGCTTTGAAAATCGTGAAAAATGAAAATGAAAACGCAAACAAACGGCCCAATACCACTCGTTTTCTAGTTAATAGGTGTTTTATATTTTATTTACAGTGGCATTGACATACTTGCGTTTGCGTAGCCTCGAGGGATATATTTACCTACTACGCATACGAGACATCATGACATCAGTGGTAAAAAAGAGTTACCTGCGCTATGCTTCAACTAACCCACCTTTTTTAATTATTATTATATAAGAGGAGAAGAGGAGTGCTAAATGTAGACTTTATTTTTTACTTTTGTTCATATGCTACATTTATCTTTTGACATGTGTCATTTTGAATTTCTCTAATAAACACACAGAATAACAAGACATTGGTTTCAAATATATTTGGGATACTGCCATTACCGGATTTAATAGGCTTAGAGTTTGTTTAGTTTGCTGATTTGAGTTTTTAATTTGAGTTGAGATGTGATTTTATGTGATAAGTTTTTACTGTAGTAAAAAAAATTAGATGTAAATGTTTTTAAAAGTTTTTTTACTGTAATTAAACTTAAATCAGTAAAAAAAAAAAAAAAAAAAAAGTGAGATCTTACACTCTTATCCACTATTTAAAAAACTCTGCCTTATTTCTCTCACCCACCACTTAACACGATTACTGCACCTCCGTTTTGTCTACTATAATTATAAAATTGCTAAAAAATAATTGAAAAAAAAAGGTCCAAGTTTATAAGAACACAGTGTAGATATTGAAGGCTGAAGCAACATCAATATTTTTTTTTCTTTAGAAATCAATCTTTCTTTGCTTTTTTTTTTTTTAATGTAAACGAAACTATTACATTTCCAAATTAAATAACTACCGATTGAAATTTTCATACATATCATTTTATTTGAAAAGAAAACTCCATTTATTAAAAGATTAAATTGCAAAAAGCAATGTACTACAAATTTGTACAAAAAAATCATATGTACAGAGACTTTTTCTGGTGTTTTCTATTAATCAGTCGTCGTCAGATATCTATTAAATTTGGTCATAAATTAAATTAAATTAAAAAAATAATATAGATCTGACGACTAATAAACAGAAAATACCGGTATTCTTAAAAAAAAAAAAAGAACACCAAAACAATTTCCATATATAATATGTTATAGTTTGAATGGTAAAACACAAAACCTAGATACACAGAAAACAAACAAATAAAGAAAATATCTATATTATTCTTTTCTTCGCTAATGAACCCAGAAATATATAAAGAATAAAAAAAAAAAACTACAATAAACTTATCTCTCATTACGCATATTTTATAGAAATACCCTAAGGGATTTTTTTAAACTAACATTTAATATTTTTTATAGGATTTTAGTATGTTTTCCCCTTTAGATGTTGACGTTATCAAGAAAATTTTCAATTTATGTGGTTTAGATGAGAGCAATTCCGTTTCTTCTCTTTTCAGTTGCTTTATTTTTATTTTTATTTTTTAGGTAATTGCATTACGAGTGAGCAAAACATGGTAGCAAAGTGGGGGAAAAAAACCCGGTTGTAACTTGTAATGGATGGAATTTATAACGTCTGTTGAATAGGGAGAATGGCACTATTGTAAATATGTTTGAAAGTAATGGCTTGTTATTATGTGTGTTAGTTGGAGAAAATTAAAATAACACATGTCAAAATATAAAGGTATCAACCGAACTAGAGTCTGAAATAAAATATGTATTTAGCACTCCTCATAAATAAGCTTTTGAAAAAGAGTATACAATATACATTCATTCTCTTCACTCATGATCTCATGAGTACTTACTATAGTACCAAAATTTTTTTCCGTCCGTTTAGTTTATGAATTAGAACTATGTGATTAAAATTATTTTTTATTTATGTATATTTTTTATGAGAAAAAATACTGTAACAAATCACGAATCATGATTCAAATCAGGAAACGAATCGTTCTACCGAACATCACCTTAGAGTATATCGATTCTATCTGCCATATATGAATATTCAACAAATCTAAAGAGAGATCACGCTTTTCCAGGAGAAGAAGAGAAATCAAAACATCTTTCTACCATAGACTTTCCAGTGTACATAGTGTATAGTGTATATTTGCAAATGTTAAATTTGAATAAAATCACATTAAAACGAAAAAAAATATATATACACAACTGGCAGAAATTATACATATTTGTAGGTTCGAAACATAGCCTCATCGATTTTCATATCCTAAAAATAAAAATTAAAAAAAAAAAAGAAGAAGTAAAAGATATCTCAGATACTGAAAAACTAGCAGAAAACACAAATTGTTCAGAAGATTTTTAAATACGGAATCATGAAAAACATTTCTAATTTATTCTGAAAGTAATACAAGTAAGCAAACATACCCTTTAGGCTACAGCTTGACCTTCCTCTTGCATTTCTGCTCCACAATTGACTTGCTCGTAATATTAACCGTGAAGGTGCAATTCATTTTCACAACAACATGTCTCTTAATAACGTTCAGTATCTTAACTCTCCCCGGAATCCTCGAATAGCTGCTCATTTCCACGAGGCCCGAGCCCACATCCCCCAGTAAATTTGGGCTTGTCATGACCTGGTCCATGATGATGTCCACCGTGATATTCATCCTTTTGGTCCGCCTGGCCCGGGCCTGGCCTGGTGGGCCTCGGGCCTCGCCGATCATTTTACCGTCGTAGTACAGCGCGGTGGTGGTGTTGCTGTACCTAAACGACGCGGCGTTCGGGTTCTTCACGGACACGTCAGCCGTCAACGACATGTTGCCTTCAGAGGTCCTGTTGTTTACTAACGCTAAGTTTGAGACCGTTATGCCGTTCATTTTGATAACGGGCTCCTTTATTTTGAACACCGTGAATATGAGGATTATGATCGCAACGGCTAGGATTAGCACAAACGCCGCTAGGCAGCCACAATATTTGATGAGTTTTCGGTGTCGGATTTTCTTCGAGTGTAGGGCTACCTCCTCGTCGTCGCTGCTCGGGCGGTTGGCCGCCGGGGCGAGCGGTCGGGCCTGATCTGTTTCCACCATGGCTGGCTAGAAGGTTCGTGATGGAAATTGGGAGGAGAGAATGGCTAGGAGCTAGGGAGGTAACAATATTTGGTGTGTGACTTTAGTCTAAGGGGCAGTTTCTTGATGTGGAAATTTTTGGCATGGTGCTTTTATAATGGGAGTGGGAGTGTCGTATTCACATTTTTCTAGCCGTTGAATGTTGACCTTTTACATTTACTTCGTGGCACGTCATTATGGGAAAACGTGCCGAAAAAAGGACGCTAGTTTTTTTTTTTTTTTTTTTTCATGGCCGGTGTTGTTATAGCTATCTTCTAGCTACTAATTTAAATATGTAGTCATTTCAAATTGTCATCTTCAAATGGTTGGCATTTCATTATGGCCAAGTATGGTCCAAACAATTGGTATGTCATGAATCATTTTAGAAGAAAAACAAGTAAAGGAGTACTTATTGGATTCACACCAAGCTGCTACGGTGCATTGTGAGCCCTAATCAAATGGAATAATAACTAATATCCACTTTAAGCACTTCTACTTAGTCGCATTTTAATCCCATTCATAATAATATATATGTCAAATTTTGATAGAATAGAAATTCTTTTTCAATTGTCTTTCAAACAAAACTGAGGCCAATAAACACATGTTAGGCTTTGATTAGCAACCAGATTATATAGCATTTTCCACGGAGTTTTAGGTAGTGGGAAGGAAAATTGTTATGAGGTTTAGTACGTCTCAAATGTGCCATGCGAAATCTATACTGCTTTTGATAAATAAAGATTATGACTTTTTTTTAGTAAAATCTATCTGAGATATCAGATATCATTGGGATTCTGTGATCGGTGGTGCTTAAGTGGACGTTTAGTTCATGTATTCAGAATTATAATTTAGAATTATTTTCATTTTACATATGTTTTTTATGAGAGAAAAACACTGTAAAAAATTATGAATCATAATTTAAAATAAAAAACGAATACAAAAAATAAACATCTTCTACTGTGTGAGGTGATTAAACACTTTCTGTTAATAAATTATTATTTCAGGGCATTGACCCCACCTACCGGCTACCACTCACAAATTAAGAGAAGCTTCCTACAACCGGCATTCTTAATCCAATGACACTTCGAGGATGTTTGGTTGGAGGATTCAAATCATGTGATTCGAATTATTTTCGATTTACGTGAATTTTTTGTGAGAAAAAATACTGTAGCGAACCATAAATTATGATTCGAATCAGGGAACGCATCCCTCTACCAAACATTTCTGAAGTTTATATCACACAAAGCTAGATAGAAAACAACATAACAATTATGGCTTAGTTAAGTGAATAAGTTTTTTAATTTGGCTTTTGTCTATGGGCCTCTCCTGAATTTTGTGCTTTTTTTTTTATATTTGGTGATTAGTTTCTGACTAAAAATTTTTGTAATTGATTCTCTAAACTTTAAAAACCGTAGTATTAGTGGTCCAATTGATGTCATGATTACATTTTTTTGACGGAGTGACCTACATACTAGTCATGTGACTCTTTTCAAGGGTATTTAGTAATTATTTTCTTAAGAGCATCTCTAATGTAATACTATAATTAATATATCAATTACAAATTTAACATTTCAGTGAAAAAATATATTCTCCAATGTAATACTATTTGTTGTGTTAAATTTTCTATATGTTATACTTTGTGGTAAATTTCTTACTATGTATAACATACAGAAAATTTAGTGTTTAATTATTATTGGTTGAAATGTTTACTTTTTTCATATAATCAATACAATTTTTGTATTTTCTAATTATTTTAAAAATAAAAATTTACTTTTATAACTTTCAAAGCTTAATAATTATAAAAAAATATATATTTAACATTTTAAACAGCATTATGTATTGAAACAAAAATAAAAATAATATATCATATTATAGTTTTTAATGCTAAATATACAATTGACATTAGTATTTGTATTGAAGATGGTCTAACAAAATAAATTTCTTTTTTTTTTTAAGAAAACCTAAAAAAACCAGATAGTAAAGAGAGAAAGCCCAACAGTAGAAGGAAATTGTTGCGGCTGTACCGCCAATCCATAGCCCCCTCCCACCGCCTGTTGCTGCCATTGCTCAACTCACCCCCTTTCCTTAAATCTCTTCGAGGTGGGAGGTCGCTACAAGCGGCTGGATTATAGATGTCAAATGGGTCGGGCCGTCTATGGATGGCCCGGCCCAACTCCTAATAGTGCCGGATTCGGCATGGCCCGGTTCGCTACTGTTACCACCACGTGTAATGGGCTAGGGCTGGGCCTTGGTTTCTCAGCCCATGGCTCAAGCCCGGCCTTAGCACGTGAAGGCCCGCGGCACGGCCTTAGCCCAGTTCGGCCCAAGCCCAGATTCGGCCCGGTCCAAGCCCGCGAAACGGCCATGAAATAACCCATTCTAAATGCTACCGTTGGGCCCTTAGCGGGCCCAACGGGTGGCCCGTGACGGGCCTCCCGTTTGGCACGTGACGGGCCTCCCCTTAGGCCCCGCCACGGGCCCCCCCTCGGCCCCCG